GGCTGCACGCCCTCCGCCGCCGAAGCGAGGGTGCTGTACGGCGGGGTGGCCAGGGGCACCTCGTCCGCTTCTGTGTGTCACGAGCTGCGCGTATCCGCCAGCACGGGCTCAGCAGGCGCATGAGCAGCAGCGGCAGCGCCAGCAGCAGCAGCGCCCAGCATTGCCCAGCAGCGCCCAGCAGCGCCAGTCAGCAGCGCCAGCCAGCAGCGCCAGCCAGCAGCGCCAGCCAGCAGCAGCAGCAGCAGCAGGAGGAAGGGGAGCGAGCGGAGAGTCGCCGCAGTCCAGATCGAGTCGTGATAGGGCCCGACACGCCAGTAGGGTATCTCGAGAGCTCACGGGCCGCCGACATCACGTACGCCCGTCCCGCGTTGAGAGCGCATCGCGCGCGCGCCCACCACCAGCAGCGGGCGGGGCGGAGGGGCGGCCCGCCGCCCTGCCTTGCCCCGCTGCCCCGTCGTCGTGGTCGGCGTCGTGATCATCGTCGTCGCCGCCGCCCGCTGTCCACTGCTGCCGTCGTCGACGCTGCCACGCTGCCCGTCGTCGTCGTGGTCGTCGCCGCCGTGCGTCGCCGTTGCCCGTCCACCGCCGCCGCCACCGCCAGCGCTGCCCCAGTGCCCCGTCGTCGTGGTCGTCGCCGCGCGTCCGCCGCCGTCAGCCCTGGCTCCGCTGCCCCTCCTTCTCCTCCTCCTCCACCTCCTCCTCCTCCTCCTGCTCCGCCTCCTCCTCCTCCTCGTTCGCCTCCTCCTCCTCATCCTCCACCTCCCCCCTCCTTCATCCTCCTGGTCCTCCCCCCTCTATCCCTCCCCTCCCTCTCCTCCTCCTCCCCTCCCTTCTCTACCTCCTTCCTCCTCCTCCCTCCTCGTCCTCCTCGTCTCCTTTTCCTCCTCTCCCCCTCCCCACCTCCTCTCCTCCTCCTCCTCCTCCTCTCCTCCCCCTCCTCCTCCTCCTCCCCCTCTCCTCCTCCTCCTGGTCCTCTTAGGCTCCTCTTGCTCCTCCTCCTCCTCCTCCTCCTCCGCAGAGCGGGCTGCTTGCTGGCCCAAGCAGCTCCTCTTGGTGCTGGGCCACGTCCTCGAGAAGAAGGGCGGCGGCGAGCGCATCATCGGGGTCCTCAGCATGGTCACGCGCTGCTGGAGCATGATCCGCGAGGAGGGCATGCGTGACTGGGCGAGGCGCACGGCCCCAGCCTGGGACGCCGCCGTCGCAGGCAACTCGGCGCTCCGCGAGGCCTTCGCTCGCGCCGTGAGCGAAGAGGCCGTCGCAGCCATGGGCGTCTCGTACGGCCACGGCCTGATCGACGTCCAGAAGTTCTACGACAGCATGCCATGGACGGGGCTCGCTCAGGCGGCGTTCCGATGCGGGTTTCCGCCCGCAGTACCGGCGTTGGAGCTGCAGCAGTGCATGGCGGGCAGGGTGCTCTTGCAGGACGGCATGGCCTCCCGCCTCGTGGTCCCGTCCCAGTCGGTGGTGCAGGGCGTCAGGTCGGGCACGCGTTTCGTCCGATGCATGACGTACCACACGCTGCAGCAGATGGCCATAGGGTCGCCCCAGCTCCTGCCCTCGCGGATCTGGGTAGACGACCTTTCGGTGTCCTCCGTGGGCACGCGCCAGTCCGTAGTCGACGCCGTCTCGAAGGGCATCATCGACTTCGGCTCGGGCATGCAGAAGGCTGGCTTGCAGATCTCCCCCAAGAGCGTCGTCGTCTGCTCGCAGCTGGAGGACGCACGGCGCATTGCCCAGGTCGTCAAGCAGCACGGCTTCGCCGTCCAGGCGGCGAGCCACGGCACCTGCCTCGGCGTCGACCTTGCAGCGGGCCGCCGCCCAGCTCGCCGCACGGTCACCAAGCGCATGGGCAAGACACGCTTCGCGAATGGCCGTCTGCGTGGCATGGCCCGCGCTTCACGGCAGTATCAGAAGTGCGGGTTCGTCGAGAAGGTCGGGCTGCAAGCGGCTGCAACCTACGGGCACGAGATCTTCGGCGTCTTCGGCAGCAGGCTTGCGGAGCTCCGCCGAAGGCTTGCCTCTGTCTCTGGAGCTGCTAGGCGAGGGCGCTGCCTCACCACGCAGCTGGCCCTTCGCGCGGGTCCCCTCGATCCTGCCAGGCGCCTGCCTCGCGCCCTGGTCAAGTGCTGGTTCGAGGTCTGGAGGAGCAGCCAGGAGTTGAGGAGGCGAGTGGCGCGGGCCTGGATCCCGATCCACAGTCGGCTTCGCGAGGCGGAGCTCGAGCGCAGGTCGAGACTGGTGCGAGGCCCTGTGTCCGCACTCCAGGCCCTCCTCCTGCAGCGCGGCTGGGTGCCCGTCGGCCCGATGGGCTGGGAGCGCGTCCTGCAGGACGGATCCCGCGAGCGGTGGGCTTTCCCCGACGTGGCCAGCATCACGGACGGCTCCTGCAAGGCCGTCCTCGACGCGCTCGACGACTCCATCCATGAGGACTTGTGGCAGCGCGCCGCCACGCACTGGTGCGGCGCGGGCCTGGAGGCAGGCGCCGTTCTGCGTTCTCTTCAGGCCCACCTGCAGCGGCTCAGGCGTCTTCCTGGAGGGCCTGCGCTCGAAGAGCTGCTCGCCACCATCGCGGTGGGCGGAGCCTGGCCGAGGTCGCGCAAGAAGGAGACCTTCGGCGACATGGAGTGCGCCAGCTGCCCACGATGCGGCGGCGAGGAGGAGACTCCCTTCCATCGGTACTGGAGTTGTCCTTGCAACGTCGGCAGCAAGGCCAACGACGACAGCAGCGAGCTCCTGCCCCGTGCCGCCGCGGACCAGGAGGCGCACGCGGCCTTCTGGCTCCGCGGCATCACCCCACGCAGCTGGACTGAGGTCGCCGCCCCTCGCGATCGCGACCTCTGGACGCTCTTGGACGGCCAGCAGGTTGTCGCTCTGGCCCCTGGTGTCTTGGGGCAGGGCACCGAGGAAGCCCCGCTCGTCCTCTTCGGCGACGCCAGCGGAGGACCAGAAGGGCAGGACCCTCCTCTCCGTCGCGTGGGTCTGGCAGTCGCTCGAGTTCACCTGGGCGACGGAGGTCTCGAGCAGGCAGCGTGGGGCGGCCTCAGCGGCAGCACGCAGACCGTCCATCGAGGTGAGCTGCGGGCGCTCGTGCTCGCCGCGCAAGGCTCCCTCGGCCCCGCGGTTTTCATCTCGGACAACCTGGCCGTCTGCGAGGGCTGGTGGAGGCGTCGCGACCTGCAGCCGCTCGGCGATGACAGCGTCCAGCCGCTCGGCGATGACAGCGTCCTGTGGAGTCTCCTCGCGCAGACCTTCAGTAGCAGGAGCAGGCCCAGATCGGACTTCGTCGTGGAGCACGTGTATTCACATCTGGAGATGGCCGAGGCTTTCAAGATGCGGATCCCCCCCTGGCTGGTCGTCGGCAACGCGGTTGCCGACACCTTGGCTGGTGCAGCGGCTGATGCAGTTCGCGTCGCAGCCCCTGATCGCGCTCGCGTCCACCAGACGGAGCACATGGCCATGCTGGTCAGGAGGCGGTTGCTGCGAGCCACCCTCGACGCCATCGAAGCGGAGAACGGCCTGGCTCCTCCAGTGCGGCGAGCCAGGAGGCGGAGGCGTGCTCCCCCTGCAGCTCGCCTGGTCGCTGCCTTCAGCACGTCCCATGTGCTGGACAGCCACGGCAGCTGCATGAGGTGCAGGTGCTCATCGCCGCGATCGGCCCGCTCGCAGTGGTTGGAGGCGCGGTGCCCTGGCTTGCAGCGCGACGGGGCCCACGCGCTCAAGCTGGTCGACGACGACGTGCACATCGGCGGCGGCCGCCCGCGCTCCTCGCATGTGATGCGGCTGCACCAGAGTCTCGACGTTTGGTTCTGCCTGAGGTGCGGGTTCTTCACGGCGGCTGCTGGCCGCCTGCTGGGGCGAGGTCTCCGCTCGTGCTGTCCTTTGTCCCCCTCGAGGACTGGGCGAGACTACCTCCGGCGGATCGCCCGTGGTCTTTGGCCGAAGGCCGCTGGGCGGCGCCGGTTTGCCCGCGCCGAGGAGGGCATCCTGCTCGGCCCCAAGAGGCAGGCCGCCCGCCGTCGTGCTGCGCGTGCTGCCGCTGTTCGTGCCGCAGCCGCCTCGGGGCAGGCGGCCCAGCCCGTGCCGAGGGAGCTGGCGGCCCTGGGCGCTGCTCCAGCCTCCCCCGACGTCGGCGACACCCTCGCGCTGGACTGCAGCTCGGCAGACCCGAGGAGGCCAGTCCCGCTGGGAGCGGCCTCTTCGGGTCCATCGACCTCTACTGACAGTTGGCCGCAGCCTGTGATAAATTGCGGCAGCCACGGAGTTGAAGCGGCGGGGACCGCCACGAGTGGGGAGCCTGCGTCGGGCTCCCTCTCTCCCCGTCCTGGTGAAGCTCGTGCTGACGCTCTACGTCGTGGCGATGGTGTCCCTCGAGCTGGCCCTCCTTTGGCAGGGGCCCCAGCCAAGAAGATGAAGGCGTTCGACGAGAAGGTCCGCTGGCTGCTCGACGCGGCCCGCGGCAAGCGCCTCAGCTCCGCCCTGGACGACGAGGCCGAGGCCCGAGTCGAGTCGACTCCTCGGGCCACTGGAGGCAGCTGCGCTGGGAAGCGCAGGCGGCTGGGCCACCCTGCTGCCGCCCTGGCCCGCCCCCGCCACGCTGAGGAGGGAGCCGCCGACGGAGCGCCGCCCGCCAAGCGGCCGCGGGGGGGGGGGGGGGGGGGCACGACGCCGTGGCCAGCGGGCCCAGGGGGGGGGGGGCGGAGCGGCCGCTGTGCGGCTCTGAGGCCGCTGGCGGCCCCTGCCCGCCTCGCCCGCGGCCGCCGCGGCCTCGGATGCCGCACCGAGACGCGCGTGCCTCGACGCGCGCGTCCCTCGGAGCGCCCTCAACCTCAACCTCAAAACCCCTCCTCCTCCTCCTCCCCTCCTCCTCCTCCTCCTACCTCCTCCTCCTCCTCCTCCTCCTCCCTCCTCCTCCTGCTCCTTCCCTCCTCCTCCCTCCTCCCCCGATCGAGCAGGCCGACTGGGCCACCGCGCCGCCGCCGCCGCCCCCACCTGCCGCCAAGGACCGTCGTCGGCCTCAGCGGGGCGCCCGTGCTCGAGGCGCGCGCCCCTGCCAGTCGGCGTCCTCCCTCTCGACCGTCCGCCGCCGCCGCCATGCCCGCCGGCCGCCATCGTCGTCGTCGCCGCCGCCGCCGCCGTCGTCGTCGTCGTCGTCGTCGTCGGACGTTCTCCGTCCCGTCGTCGTCGTCGTCCGTCGTCGTCCGTCGTCGTCGTCGTCGTCGTCGTCGTCGTCCGTCGTCGTCCGACGTCGTCCGTCGTCCGTCACGTCGTCGTCGTCCGTCGACGTCGTCATCGTCCGTCGTCCGTCGTCGCTTCGGGTGCGGCGTCGCGTCGGCGTCGGCGTCGTCGTCGTCGTCGTCCGCGGCGTCGTCCGTCGCGTCCGTCGTCGTCGTCGTCGTCCCGTCAGCGTCGTCGTCGTCGGGGGTGGGTCCGATCGTCCGTCGTCCGTCGTCGTCGTCGTCGTCCGTCGTCGTCGTCGGCTGATCTTCCGTCGGCGTCGTCCCGATTGTCGTCCGTCGTCTTCGGCGCCGTCGTCGTCAGCGTCCGTCGTCCGACCGTCGCGTCGCGTCGTCCGCGTCAGCGTCGGCGTCGGCGTCGTCGTGTCCGTCGTCCTTCTCCTTCTCGCTGGTCGTCCTCCTCCCCCTCCTCCATCCCCCCTCGCTCCTTCGGCCTGGGCGTTTCCAGAATTGGCCGCCCATGCCTGTCGGCTGGAACATCCGTCACAGATCACGGATGCCGCCATCAGCTGCCCGATTTGTCAATGCCCACCTTCTTTCGCCTCGTGGTGTGCTTGGGTGTGGCGGAAAGTGCACGGCGATGGCGGATTTTGTTGTCGGCAAGTTTCTGCGACTATTTGCGAACCCTACCCCTGCGGGACCAACGGTCCAATCGACGATGGGACATAGAACCCCGCGCGGGAATTCACATGGCCGTTGATATCCTTCACATTCTGATCCCACGCCAGCGATGTAGAAATCAGACCCGCAGGTGTAGGGTTCGCATGTAGTCGCCGGGAGCTTCAGTTGGGGTGTGACAGTCGCAAGCGCTGCACCGCAGTACGGCCAGGTTCGAGGACTCAGCCTCGATTGCTTTTGCGAGCCACTTGCGGGAAACATGGCTACAGCCGAGGCGTATAACAAGGCTGCGCGGTCAGGATGCAAGGGCCTCGGAGGGCCATGTTGGCGTTTTCGAGAGGGGTTGGCCGGCGAAAGTCGCCAAGGATGAGCCGAAGGGGCAAGGATGCAAGGGTAGCCTCGGAAAGTTGCTCACCCTTACGAAGCGACTTGACTGCGAGGTGGCGCAGTCATGGCAAGGCCCTGACGTCGAGCGACGATCATTTCCCGACCCGACCAGACCTTCGACCCGTGGGGCGGTCCGCGCCTTGCGATGCACCAGGCCAGCCTCAGCGGCCCCTCGGCGCCCTCTCGGTGGCCCTCGGCGGCCCCTCGGTCGGCCCCTCGGTCGGCGGCATTCAGAGGCCCTCGGCGACCCTCGGCGGCCCTCGGCGGCCTTCAGAGTCCCTTGACGGCCCTCGGCGGCCCTCCGCGGCCCTCGGCGGCCTTCGGCAGCCTTCAGAGCGTCGGCGGCCCTCGGCGGCCCTCTCGGCGGCCCTCGGCGGCCCTTGGCAGAGGCCGTCGGCGGCTCTTGGGGGCCCTTGGCGGCCCTTGGCCTTCAGAGGCCGTCGGTGGCCCTCGGCGGTCCAGGACTCGGCTGGAGGGTTAGGCGGCAGGCGGCTGAGACCACCGCCCTGCTCGCTCTGCGGCCTGGGCCGACGAGCTTTCCTCCTCCAGGGGGGGGCCCGAGGGCTTGAGCCCCTGGGGCCCTCGGATTCTTCTGACGCCCTCGTCCTCCCGGCGTGGACTTCTCCTGGCCAGAGCCGAACCTGCTGAGCCCGGGCGTGAGTCGAGTCGAGTCCTCCTTCTTCTCTCGGGCACGCCAGGGATCCGGACGAATCGTTCCAGGGCGTTCCGGAACGCTCACAGAGTGTTCGGGAGCGCTCTGCAACGGCCGTGGCGCCCGACACATTCCACAGAACCGCCAGATCTCATGGGCCCCCGATTCATCTCGACCCGATGCTGTCCCGATCCTGGCTTCATTCTATGAAACTCACCACCCAAGGCATCGCTCCCCGGACCTGTCCAGGGGAGCGTTCTGGCCAGAATTCCGAGGGGAATCCAGCCGTTGCATCGACGACGCCCACAGGGACCCAAGAGCCTGGACATCGTGAACAGAAGCTCTAACCTCGAGCTCGAACCTCGAAATATCCTCATCCTCCTCTTCCTCGTCCCTCCCGCCCTCCATCTCAGCATGTTCTCCTCCCTCCGTCCCCCATGTCCATCGCCAGAATATCCTGCTCCTGCTCCTCCCTCTCTCCCTCCCTCCCCCTCCCCTTCGCCCGTCGCCCTCGTGCCCGTAGCCGTGGCGAGCTCGCCGTCGTCGTTCGCCCTCGTCGCCGGAGGCCCTCCTCTCGGCCCCGACCTCGTGGCCCCGCGCGGGCGCGCCCGAGGCCTGCCTGGAGGGTCCCAGGAGATCCCGGCATGCTGCCCCTGCTGCCTCCGGCGGATGGCACTGCCGCGGCCACCCCGGCGCGGGGCACCTCGACCTGGAAAGGCCCTCCTCCCTCCCCTCCATCTCCTCCCCTCCCCTCCATCCCCTCCCCTTCCTCCGCGTAGTTACCTCGGACCTGGAGCCTCGTCATCGAACAACCCCTCACCCCTCCCCCCCCCCACTCCCCGACCCCGACTTAGAATTCCCTCCTCCCCTCCCCTCCCTCCCCTCCTCCCCTCTCCCCTCCCTCCTCCCTCCTCCCTCCTCTCCCTCCCCCTCCCCTTCCCTTTCTCCCCTCTACAATTAAACGGTGGCGTCCGGGGATTGTTCGGCCCCCCTCCGCGTACCGAATTTTTACACTTGATTCCCGGGAGTTGAGTTTTCGTTTTTTTTTTAATGCTGCTCTCGCTGAAGTGCTGGTCTCATTTTCGGGCTACCGCTCGTTTCGAATCGTGCTCCTGCTGCAGCGCTGGCCTCATTGCCGCGCTTCCCTCGTTCCGAATCGTGCTCCCACTGCAGCGTTGGCGTCATTATTTCCAGTCCCATGCCGCGGCATGGTTTTCGGTCCTTCCAAACAGGCCCCAAATCTAAAAAATGGCCTCCCGAAGAAACCATCGGAAGTGAGTACACATTCGGTGTCGATCCGTTGATTTTTTGGGCCGCAGAAGCCTACCCCCACTTTGGGTCGTCGCCACGCCATGCTATGTCATGCTTCGCGTTCATATTTCACACCATGCTATGCCATGTAATGCCATGCCATGCTGCGACATCCGATTGTGCGAATAGGGAGGAGATGTACGACATGCTAAGGGATGGGAGAGAGGGGTAGGACGTCAGATATGACGCGAGCGCTCCTAGCTTGCCCCCCACCCTCCCCAGCCTCCCCGTGGTCGCTCCGCCGCCGCGCCGCCCCCTCCGCCTCCTGGTAGGCCCTCGGCCTCGACGGCGGCGGGAGCTGGGGGGCGCTGCCAGGCCCGCCGCCGCCCCCCCCCGGCAAGCGCGGGGGGGAGCAGCGCGGGGCGGGAGGAGGAGGAGGAGGAGGAGGAGGAGGAGGAGGAGGAGGAGGAGAAGGAGGAGGATGGCGCTCGCTCGTGTCGGCGCCCTCTCTTGGGACGTTGCCGCGCTCGGCATTACGCGTGGGGCTTTCGTTTGCTCGTGGGGTGCTTGGCCGTGCTCTCTGGTCTTCGGGCTCTCTGGGGTCGAGCGGTCCCCGCGGGAGTGGGGACTCCGAGATCCCTCCGGGGGTGCGGACGGCGCTCGCTTTGTCGGTGCCCTCTCTTGAAGGGCGTTGCCGCGCTCGGCGTTGCGCATGGTGCCGCCTTGAAGTTTGGGGCCTCAGGCTCCAACCAGCATGGGGAGGTACCTCCATGAAGTTCCGAGGAGGAAGGGTACCGACACCGCTACCCTTTCCTCGTTTTTCATTTTTTTCTGTGCCTCCTGGGAGGTCCTGGTCGCCACCGTTGGATTCGTTTCGAAATCCTGGTCAGACCGCGCCCCGGGAGAGGTCCAGGGAGTAGCAGTATCGGTACAGTTTTTGAGACGTTCGAGCCGGGCGACGAAAGCACGCCAGATCAGCGTGGTTGCCGATATCGGGTGCACGTCTCGTCATTTGCAGGGCCTTTCTTCGCCAGACTCACAGGCGACTATGTGAGTGTAAAAGGAGGAGGAGGAGGAGGAGGAGGAGGAGGTTCTCCTCCTGGGATGCGTGCTCTTCGGGCGCGCTTCCAAGCTCGCGAAGCCGGCCCTGCAGAGGGGGAGGAGAAAGGAGGAGCAGGGGGGACGGGGCGGGCAAGACCGGAGGAGGAGCAGCAGGAAGATTGAACAACAGTCGACAGGTGCGCTTTTTGACTGACCGGCATGCTGGACACACCCGGCTCGAGGCCCACCGAGCGACAGAGACAACAGCAGAGGGAAGAGGAAGAGGAGGAGGAGCTGGAGGTTCAGGAGGAGGGCGACGAGGAGCCGAAGGAGGAAGACCCTGTGTGACCCGACGATGTGGAAAGATGCGAAATCGCTAAACATCGCGATCAGAGCCCCAGGCCCCATCACCCCGCCTTTTTTTGGGGGGGGCGGATCGACATGATGGTCCTGGGGCCCGAAACCGGGCGAAACCGCCAGGCGCAAAAATTCGCAACGCGCGGATCTCAGGGGAGCAGGAGGAGGTGGAGGCGAGGGATTCCAATGAGAAGGTCTCGTCGGAAGCAGGTCCCTTCGAGTTCGGCTGGGTCCATCGTGCGAGACGAAGGGCAACGCGACAGACGCATAGCCAGGTGGGACTCATGGAACTGTGTACCATGGCACCAACCGAGCCAGAAACAGGGCTGGACGGGCGGGAAACACTGAATCATGGGATTTGCCGCTACCGTCGCGGCGGCCTCGGTAAACAGTCGGCGCCGGCACGCTCGACCACCCCTGTCCAGGGATTGCGGCTGCCGCGTGGGTTTGCCTTGTCCAGGCAGGGACCCGTTCCTGGTCCAGGGGCTGCGGCTGCCGGGCGGGTTGGCCTTGTCCAGACAAGGACACGTCCCTTGTCCAGGGACTGCGGCTGCCGCGTGGATTTGCCTTGTCCAGGCAGGGACCTGTTCCTTATGCAGTAACGGCGGCGGTTGGGGGTTTGCCTTTTCCAGGCAGGGGCCCGTTCCTTATCCGGGAGCCGATACGAGCGCCTTGCACGCGGGCAGTGTTCTCTCCTCTGGGAACGGGTGCCGCCTGAGCACCAAGCGTGGGCAGCAACCCGAGCTTCCCCAAACCGATTCCCTGCGAAGGGGGCGATGCCACCTGGGCGCGCCACTCGAGCACGAAACGTGAGCGTCGGCAGCAAAGCGCCAGCTGCACGGCGAAGGAAGGCGAGAAGGTCGCAAGCCCGCAACTGCAGGCTACACGCGTGTAAGTAGCAGAGCAGGCAGGAGTACCAGGGACCGCTCCGCGCGAATTGCTACCCCCGACACGGAAGATGCTGGGATGCAACATGGCATAACCATTAATTTGCGGAGGACCGGGCGGATCTCTTGCACCTGCGTTGGGTCCCCCTTGCGCGCCTCGCGCGCCAGGGAGGCCCCGCGTGCCAGCGAGGGGTGCCAAGCGCAGGTCCAAGGTATCCGCGCGGACCTCCGATGTTTATTGTTTCTGCTCATGCCTGGTGTGCTCTCCTAGGCGTGGGGGGCTGGATGGGGAAGCGCGACGGCGTCTCAGAGCGAGGCGCGGCCGCGGTAATTAGGCGAAGAGGAGGAGGGAGCAGGAGGAGGACGAAGACGAGGAGAAGGAAAAGGAGGAGGCGAAGGAGGAGGCGGAGGAGGAGGAGGAGGAGGGAGGAGGAGGAGGAGGATGAGGAGGAGGAGGGAGGAGGAGGAGGAAGGGAGGAGGAGGAGAGGAGGAGGAGGGGGGAGGAGGAGGAGGAGGAGGGAGGAGGAGGAGGAGAAGGAGGAGGAGGTAGGAGGAGGAGGAGGAGGAGAAGGAGGAGACGAGGAGGACGAGGAGGACGAGGAGACGAGAGGACGAGAGGAGAGATGAGGAGGAGGATGGAGGGAGGAGGAGGAGGAGGAGGAGAGGAGGAGGAGGAGGAGTGGGCGACGGCGTCTCAGAGCGAGGCGCGGCCGCGGCAGGCTGGGTCTTGGCCACGGCGCTACTCAAGCTCCTGGTGCTCGTCTTCCTGCCGCTGGCCTCCCCGGGTCGCCGCCCTGCGGCTCCCGCCGTGGAGACGGCGGAGGCCGGCGAGGCCGGTGGGGCTCCGGGGCAACTTGGCGGCGCGCGGCGCGGTGTGGAGGAGGGGCACTCCTCCTTCTCCTCCTCGTTACTCCTCCTTCTACTCCTCCTTCTCTCCTCCTCCTCTCCTCCTCCTCCTCCTCCTCCTCCTCCTCCTCCTCCTCCTTCTCCCCTCCCCTCTCTCCTCCTCCTCCTGCTCTCCCCCCCTTCCTCCTCCTCCTCCCCCCTCTCCTTCTCCTCCTCCTCCTTCCTTCCTCCTTCCTCCTCCTCCTCCTCCTCCTCCTCATCCTCCTTCTCATCCTGGTCCTCCTCCTCCTTATCCTGCTCATCCTCCTCCTTCTCCTCCTCCCCCCCCTCCTCCTCCATTCCTTTTCCTTCTGGTAACTTCTCCCTGTCGCACCCCGAGGCGAGTTTTTAGGGCGGGCCGGGCGTTTCGCCTGAGACTTCCTCACCATTTACTATTTTGAAGCTTAAAGATTGGCAACAGCTTCATAGACGGAGGGCGGGTCGCTTTCAAAATGTGGCTCTCGCTTTAGCGCGGCGCACATTCCTTTGAACAGAGTGCAAGAGTTTCATTTATTGAAGGTGCGTCATTTTCAAAATGTGGCTCTCGCCCCAGCGCGGTGCACATTCTTTCGAAACATTTGCAAGAGCTTCACGGATTGAGAGCGGGTGGCTTTCAAAATGTCGCTCTCGCCGTAGCGCCGCGCACATTCGACTTAAACATTTGCAGGAGCTTCATGGATTGAGGGCGGGTGGTTTTCAAAATGTGGCTCTCGTCTTAGCGCGGCGCACATTCGTCCTTAAAGTTACAAGAGTTTCACGGAGTGAGGGCGGGCGGTTTTCAAAATGTGGCTCTCGCCTTAGCGCGGCGAGCATTCGTTTTAAACATTTGCAGGAGTTTTACGGATTGAGGGCGAGTGGTTTTCAAAGTGTGGCTCTCGCCTTAGCGCGGTGCACATTCGTTTGAATGATGTGTAAGAGTTGCACGGATTCCCATCATCAGCGTACCAGAAGTGGTTCTTTGAAAGGAGTCAGGATTATGTTGGTGGAGCAGATATGTTGATTCGCTGTGTTGCAGTCCCAGGAATGTCGTTCTGGCACGAGTCAGGATTGTCAATACGCAACAATCCGGTTGATCCGTGACGTTGGAATCCCGAGAATAATGTTTGGCATGCTTCAGGGTTTTCAGACGGTTGTCTTCCAAAGAGGCAGTTCCCTCAATGGAGATGAACCGTTGTAGGGGCCTATGAAGTGGGAGCTTGGAGGGAGAGTTTATTCCTACATCGTTGATGGGTCTTGGGTTTACAGTGGTCCTCCTCCTCCTCCTGCTCCTCCTCCCTCTCCTCCTTCTCTTCCTCCTCCTCCCTAGTTGTTCCCTCCTGCTCCTCCTCCTCCTCCTCCTCCTCCTCCTCCCCCTCCTTCTCCCTACTTTCCCTTCTCCTCCTCCTCATCCACCATTCCTTCTCCTTATAGAGAATTCCTCCCTGTCGCACCCCGAGGCGAGTTTTTAGGGCGGGCCGGCCGTTTCGCCTGAGACTTCCTTTCCTTTCATGATTCTGAAGCTTCAAAAGTGACAATAGTTTCACCGATGGAGGGCGGGTCGCTTTCAAAATGAGGCTCTCGCTTTAGCGCCGCGCACATTCGTTATAAACAATTGCAAGAGTTTCACGGGTTGAAGGCGGATCGTCTTCAAAATGTGGTTCTCGCCTGAGCGCCGCGCACATTCGTTTAAACAATTTGCCAGAGTTTCACGAATTGAGGGCGGGTCGTTTTCAGAATGTGGTTATCGTTTCAGCGCCGCGCACATTCGTTGAACAAAATGCAAGAGGTTCACGGATTGAGGGCGGTTTTGTTTCAAAATGCGGTTCTCGCCTGAGCGCCGCGCACATTCGTCACACACACACACACATCTATATATACACATGTATAACACATTTGCAGGAGTTTCACGGGGTCCCATGATCAACGCACCAGAAGTTTTGTTTTGGCCGGAATCAGGATTATGCGGGCGCAACAGTTATGTTGATTCGCTGTGTTGAAGTGGAGCTTGGAGGGAGGGTTAATTCCAACATCGTTGATGACTCTTGGGTTTCCACTGGTCCTCCTCCTCCTCCTCCTCCTCCTCCTCCTCCTCCTCCTCCTCCTCCTCCTCCTCCTGGGGCAGGACTGGGGCACTGCGAGAGAAGACCCCCGCCCAGCAGGGGCTCCCTTACTCGAGAAGAATTACATATGTGAACAACAGCTTTCGTAGTTCCGCGCGGATTTCT